AAAAAAAAAAAGGAAAAACTGACGATATTTTTTAAAGTGTCCAGTATTTGAGATGTATTCCATGGAGCACATCGTCCGTCTGAGTTATTGATTCTGTGAGACTAAAATTAACGTGTCTTCCGATTCCTTGTAAGGCATTCTTACTGAAACCTTACTTTTCATTAAATGTATCATGGGAGCACAGCATTCAAGTAAAACAGTAAAAAAAATTATCCACATCCAAGCTGAAATTCAGCTTCTCAACGTAAAATTTTCTTTCACTGCTAATACTTGTTTTCCATCCCCGCGGAATGGTTGCGTCATCTCCTTCCTCATATTGGCGCACAATTTTACTCAAGAACTAAAATGAAGATACTGTATAACCCACTAATATGGCAAAAGTCATGAAAGAACAACGCCCTACACGTACGCGACACAATCCATCCAAAGCAGGTCCTACAAATTCAGTCCCAGTCGACACCTTCGGAACAGAGGTTTCTGAAGTCACGTAGCAGGAGGAAAAGTGGCGCTCAAAGCTGGTCTAACCTTCGGCCATAAATCAGTGCGACCAACTATGGTTCTACACCACAGTTTCGCATCACATCCAGGCACAGAAACCCACAAATCTTTCGGCTCCAGCTCAGTAAAGCCCGAGAACCCCGCGCAACATAAACCAAGCGAACTCGTTCTGGGATTATATTCTCGCTAGCGAACTCGTTCTGTGGGATTATATTCTCGCGGGCCCCCACATTCAAGGATGCCGAGGTGAAAGAAAAACTTATAGCCAGAGAGATTTTCGTGTACTGTACTGGAGACTGACGAAGAAAAACGAAGCCGACTCACCCAGAGATGTATTTACGCGCGAAGAAGCTTTGTTCCACAACTTGGTCAACCCAGCAAATGAGACACGAAACCCTGCCTTTTCGCAAGTCGAGGTTGTATTGAAAGTCAAGAGCTTCGGGTTTTCTTAGCACTTGCACGGCTAAAAAAAAAGCACACAACTTGATTTGTCACTACACTTCCTACAAGCATTCGGAATGAGGCAGGACGTTCGACACGAAAGAAAAATTGTCCGCGTTTGCAACTGATCACCCCTGCCCTGCGCAATCTCACACAATTCAAATTCACATTGAGAATACTGTAAAACCTGTGAAGCGAAAACAGCCAAAATTATGCCAAAAAATAACTCACTTCACATCCCAAAAAACGTAACGCAGCTCTTACGGCGATTCCAAGTCGTCCACAAGCATTAAGAAGCAGTATCCTTCTACCCCAAAATTGAAAAATCGTATGAAGAAATTGTGTTGCTCAAAGGTCGTGTTTCCCCGTACGCGTTCCACTTTTTTTTGCATTCGAACGATTTCACCCCTGGGATCGTTGCGCAGAATCCCGCGGCAGCCCCTATTTACTCGTGCACGCGCGAATTTCGCGGGTAAATATGGCTCACATTTTCGCCTTCGACGCTCTCAGATCCACTTCGCCACAACGAGAAAGATAGACTAGTGGTAAAAATGTGAATGCAGTGATGGTGAACCTTGGCGATCAGGACCGACCGATTTCCCGCGCCCCACCCCTCAGCCAAATTTGTCCGGGACTGCCGGATATTTTACACAGTATGTGACGCACTGAACCAGACGGCGTATGATTTTCCAGCAGTCATCATGATTGCAATAGTCTAATAAAACCTAGATTTTAAGGTATGAGAAGAATGTTTTCGAAAATTCTCGTGAAGAATCGGTTATCTACCCACGTCCCAAGGTGACGTTGTTGGGGGACGAGAGAAGTTCGCGCGCGAAACGGCCTGCCCCTGCGATCCAGGACGAACTCGGGTTGACGGAGTTCGCCGAGGATAACTGAGCAGCATCGAGACATTATTTTTAAGAAGCAGAAGCTGAGTTTTCAAGAAATATTGGTAGGTGTCGCTCTAAGTATATGTAATGCCGTAGAACGAATTCAAGCCTTATATTGATGACTACTGAACTTGAATATTTCAATGTCATGTGATCATCGGTTCTGTAATTTGATTTTAACGCTATCCTATACTCTGTTAATTCTACTACAGTATACCATTGGAAAATATCAAGATACAGTATCTTGAAAGTACAGTAATGTACAGTCTGCACACTAGCTTGTGAATTTTGCATGAGAAGTAGTAATACAGTTGAACCTGGATGAATTAGCCTGAAGTCAAGTACCTACAGAAGTAGAAGTTTTTTTATTCCCCATCTGAATTCCCTTGAGTGAACCTGTTTGAGTCAAATTTCAGGAGACCAGCAAACAATTCTACTTAGTGAGGTTTTTAGCTATATTTAGGGAAACAAGCTTTTCTTGCTGGAATCATGAAAGAATTGCAGAAAATTGTAACAGGTGATTTTCTGGGGAATAATATAAATAACTTCTTAAATGAGTTCACAGAATGCTGAACTTGGAAACAGGGGTCCTTTCAAAACACATCAAATTACTTGTTTCATTGCTTTTCTCTTTCATGCATAATGAAAATGATAGCCAAAAGGCTACAGAAAATTGACTTACAGAGGCTGGAGAGAAAAAGACTTGAGTTATATAGAGGGATTTTTAATACATTATTTTCAAGAGAATTCAGACTGGGACTTGAAAAAAATTGACTTTCTAGGGAGATATTTGACTTAGGGAGCTATTCAACTTATGGAGGTCAATTTAACTACTACTGTATATTATGATGGAACTAAAGCAAGAGGCCAGAGGGTCTCTTCAATTGTGCTAATGTTTTTTTTCTGACCTCTAAGCAAATTTGCATTTTAAATATTGGACAGTAGATAAATTGGATTAGTATGAAATAATGTTCAAAATGATGAATTATTTAGATGAAGTGCAAGAAAAAAGTCAGCAAAATTGAAATAGGGACGTTCAGCTGAAGTATTCGATTTCTTTTGATGCCTTCGGATCAATATGACATTTCGTATGTGTTCCAGAATTTTCGTCCATGATCCCTCTCGGTTTGATGATTTGATGCAAGCCTGCTGTGCCATTATTTCTATGTTCGACGCAAGAACACTGTACAGTACTGTGTTTAAATGACATGTGCTGTACATTTTTGTCCACGAATCAAAATCCCAGAGTTCGCATAATGCAGGTCGCCGTATGTTCGTCTTCGTAATATGCTAAAACCAACGTCAGAGCTTATTATGATCGTGCGCAGAATGTAAAAAATGAGGTTAAAACGTCAATGTCTCTGTCTAAAATTGTACTTTAGCCCCGAAGAAATTTATCCAAACTTTTCGATGTGCTTGACATCATTTGTCGTTCTCGTAAGCTTACCCCATTGGAAAATATTTCTTATTCGAAAATGTTTGACATTTTAACTCTCAAGTATGTGTCACATATTTCCCAAAAATGTTGATTATACTGCAGCCATGATGAGTTGCTGCTGAAAAGCTTTGCGCGATTAATTATTGCACTGCATAAGATGAACGTTCTAGAGACCTAGGGACAGTCAGAAGCAAAAATCACTGTGCTGCTGTTTTGGAAAAAATGCTCGAAAGATGTATTCATTTCTCAATTTAAAAATTTCAAGGAAATTTTCGTCATATTTTGGGTTGATGTCCTGTTGATTTTCCTAGATGGACCAGACTTTAATGTAGTCGATTTGCAGGGCGGAATCGTCCCCTTGCCATGTCGGGTACCACTGAGCTCTCCCGTTCCAGAAATCTCTGAAAGCAACGGGGCTGGTGTTTGCCCACGGCTTCCCAGGTGTCGCTGCATCAGGGAAAAATCCGTTGGTTCCGCCGACAGCGACGTTCAAGATCAGGTAGAACTGCAGAAAATAAATGAAGGTACTGTACAGTATCCATACACAGTCGTGACAGGTTGTATCACTTCCTTATTCACCGCATCAACTCAATCATCTTATTAACAAATCCTGAGGTTATCGTGCCGTTTTAGATGAAAACCAATGCGCAAGTAATAGCAGGAAAGAGATTGTTCGAGAATTGCCCAGCAGTATATCTTGATGGACATACTTCCGTCACGCTGCGTCGTGAAATGTTAGTAATTTATTGTGCGACTTTGACGCGAATTTATGGATTCGGATGAAAATCGCAACATTTTCAATGCATCAAATCAAACCAATTTTGAAAATTGATTTGAACGCGCCGAAGTCCGAGCAGCAGCAACAGCTCGAAAGCCGGAATTATTTTTTTAGCAAAACGCTCACAGAAAATATTGGAAAATGTCTTCCGTGTTTCCGAATGAGCCAAGAAAACGCTTGTTATTCATAGCCATAGTTCACACATAGCCTTGGAATTCCATCGGCGCAGGCTCAATTAAAAATTTGTTATGAACGAAGCAGGTTCTCGTTGCAGAAATATTTTAAAAAGAGTCCACTTTTTGTGAGTAAGTGAAAAGTGTTGAGAGATTTCGCAAGCTCTTTAACTCAGACGGCTGAACTTTTATAAAATATTTCGTTTTGATGAGCTGATCATACGTTAATAGAAGATTCAGGGTTACAAAAGGAATGGAGATGATGGAAAAATAATAGTTACGAGAATGCTCAACTCGCTACTCCCATGTAAGTAAAACATTCGAAAATTTAATCTTTTTCATTCTTTTAAATACTGTAGTTTTACCTCTTGGTCGAAGGGAGCCATTTTGGTTGCACCCTTTTCCGGTTGCCACGGGTGCTCGACAGTGGCCATGTCAATCTGTTGCTCGAAGGGGTGGATGCCGAAGAAACCCTTGTCAGAAGTCGGGGTCAACGTGCCAGTAACCGTGTTGTCGACGGATAGCTTGATGTAATCTAAAAAAAAATGCAATCGCGAAAAATAAGCAAGCCAATGAGAGTTGGCGCAATCAGTCGGACTATTAATTGGCTATCGCCCTAGTCCACTTACCGGGAGTCCACTCAAGACCGTAGAGATGGAAATCTGCGCCGTATCCCGCAGGATTATTGATTTCGAAATGTGCGCTTTCGTAACCGTTCACTGGGAAGAAGGGACCGAAGTGCAGAGTTTGAGAAATCTGCGAGATTCAAAACAGTATTTCGAAGGCAATTAAAACAAGCTGACCTCTAAATCATTCCCGCGATTCGTCACGTTGATGATGCCTTATTTTTCACTTTTTTTTTCTCTCACTCAACTGACGCACAAAAGTGGCTTCAAGAAATTTCCAACTATTTGCGAATGAAGAAGGGCAGTGAATTTCAACCTAAATTTTTTTTGCCTTCACGTTATTTCATTGCATTTCGAACAAATAAAGATAAGATACAGCTCAATCATGCAGATACCATTCAAGAGACTCCTGATTCCGAAATATTCCAGTCAACAAATATATTTCAAAGCGAAACCATTTGTAATTTTCATTTTATTGTGTATATAAGATCTCCGCATGAAGTTGAAACATTTTTTCCTGCAACTGCTCATCAGTCGCCCTTTATTCGAATAGCTGAATACGCAATCAACGTATTTAAAAAAATCAAAATTATTGGTTCTGTTGGTACTGCCTAGCTGTAAAGAAAATAAATTTTAAAATTACTGCGCAGTACCTCCACTGGAAAAGTTTGCATCCGTCCATAAATAGTGCCAACTCTTTCTGTAAGGATTTTCTCTTGACCAGGGTATATCTAATTTTCGGCGTTTATTTATTCTTTTACTCTCATATTTTTGCAGTTGGACCACCCAGAACACCTCCCAAAAAATACATAAACGCAGGCGGCCTTGCGTGTGGAATGTTTTCCTGGCGGACGGAACTAATTTGCAAACTCATTTGTTTTTCGTGTTCTTCGGAGCGGAATGGAATCTTTTTTTCTCTTCCTCTCTCTCACGCATGTATCAAAAAGGTGGTCATGGTTTACCAGCTTCCATAATTATTTTCAGGTAATTCGAGTCTCTCTGTAGAAAACCATAAAACAGGATCTTACTTGTTGTTCCCCGATTTGAACGCCGTTCATGGATAAGTCCCTGTTACCCCTGGACTCGCAAATATCGATTTCTCCACTAGCAGGCCATCCGTTGTAAGCGTTTTTCCTCGGCAGCATCCACATAGCTGCGAAAACATATTTTATGGGGCTCGAAACAATTTCAGAGGGATCAAGAGAATCATGAATTCCTCACCGGGCCAAATCCAATCTCCGCGGGGCATTTTTGCTCTAATTTCGACCTTTCCGTACTTGAAAGAGAAGGAGTTCACGGTTCGAAGTCTCGCCGAAGTCGTCGGATTCAGGTAGTTGTCACCGCTTCCAATACGCATGCAGCCGTAAAATTGAGCATTTGTGCACCTGGAAAATGTGAAGTTTCCAGTGTCCCATGAGTAATAGATTCTAGGTTTGTGAATATTGTACTGTACTACTGTAGTGCATTTTTCTCTCATGTAAGACATAAGAAAGGGTACATCTTCTATTCAATGGCGCATCTTTGATTTTGCACGGCATGTATGCACTAGATCAGTGTTCCTTAATATTTTTGGGTTCGCGAACCGGCAAATTCTAATTAAATCTTTCAAGGACCTGCGAATTTTCACCAAATTTTCTGCGGACCTTCGAAGTGCAATTTTTGAAGACCAGCAGAAAATTTTGAATACCTGCCATAAAGTCCTCAGAACAAAGCTGGTATTTGAGAAAATTAAGTCAAGAACCAATGAAGCAGCTATATAATGGAATTTCTTTTAAAAATAGAAAGCTGCTGGGCTTCAAGAAAGGCTCTTCATATTGAATACTTAAAATAGTATCTTTCAACAGGAGAAAATATGTCTGAAGTGTCATTAGGAGAAAAGCCAATTTTATTTCTCGGCAGGTAATTTCAATTGCGATTGTCTTTCTGAAATTTCGGATAACAATAACAGGCTTCATGGCTACCTTCTAT